TGCACGACGGAAAGGAGAGCGTGAACAACAACAAGAATGGTTGGAATCATGGTTTAATAGCTCCCCTTGGTTAACTACATTGTTGTCCACACTATTAGGCCCACTCATTGTGCTCCTCCTAATTCTCACTTTGGGACCATGTGTATTAAATAGGTTAATAGCTTTCATTAAACAGCAGATAAGTACTGTTCAATTAATGGTATTGGGGCAGCAATATCAAAGCCCTGGGCGTGACTGTGTAGAGATGCAAGAGGTTAGAGACCCCGAAGAGGAGCAAGAATGCTCGTAAGGACCAAAAGAAGGGGGGAATGTGAAGCCTCAGGCTAAGTGCTTTCTTTTAGCTTATGTATATTGCTTGTTTTTAGGAAGTTGGTTTGAGCGGGCTGATCCCAGTAAATTTTAGGATGAAACAAAAGGGCAAGCGCATGGGCACAAGGGGCCAACCAATCAATGTAAAGGGCAAGCGTGTGGACAGGTTATGCACCTAGGGTATAAAGGGCTCCGTTCTACAGTGCCAGGGTCTCTGTCCCAATAGAGGCCGCCGTATTGTTGCTCTGGGACTTAGACCCTAGCTCGAGCTAGTCAATAAAACTCCTTTTGACGATTTCAGCCTCAGTGACCCTGTCTCTTTGTTCTGTGGTCCTACGGTTTCCCGCGCTAACACTAGTGTTGGGCGTGGCTGTGCCGCGTATCTTCACAACCCGTGCATTTCGTCGCCGAGCAGTGAAGACAAGGAGCCCTTTTCATCTGCCCCATGAGAGCTCTGTTGCTCAACTTGAGAGATTGGGGCCAACGGTTCTAAAGGAAATAGAGTCGCAAGAAATTCAGGATGGAATTCGGGGTTTGGAGAGTTATGATTATGTTCCAGAAGAAAACGACTTAACTATATTTGCATAAATGTAGATTGTTGTACTGTACTTAAAAAAAAATAACACATCCCCTGAAAATAAGTCCTAGGGTGTCTTCTTGAGGAAAAATAAATATAAGACCCTGTCTTATTTTCGGGGTAAGATGGTAAGCCTCTTCCCTCTGACCAATGGGGCTTCACCCATTAGTGCAAGGGATCCAATTGTCTGAGACACCACTGTCCTGTCAGGAAATGAGAGGCCACCTCAGCTCTGCCCACGGCTTCCCAGGGCTAACAGCAGAGGTGAGACTTTGTGCAGCCTCCTCTGTTCCTGAGTGGTTGTTTTCCTCATGCAGGATTTTTACTTTCACTCCCAACAGACCCTGTGACACTTCTGTCTGCTGACCTGAGGCAAACAGTTCTTAAACCAAAGCCTTTATCTATTGAAACCCTGCAGGCTGAAGTCAGCGGGCACCTGAGCCTGTCAGCTCTGACCTGGCCTCCCTGGGGTGAGGCTTGGTGCAGCCCTCTCCACTGGGGGCTGAGAGGCCCCCATTTCCTAAATCAGGATCTTTACCTTCTGGCCGAGCACCGTGGCTCATGTCTATAATCCTAGCACTTGGGAAGCCGAGTAGGGAGGTTCCTCTGAGCTCAGGAGTTTGACACCAGCCTAAGAAAGAGTGAGGCCCCGTCTCTACCAAAAAGTAGAAAAAAAGAATAAGCCAGGCTTGGTGGCTTGTTTCTGTAGTCCCTGTTACTTGGGAGGGAGGAGGCAGGAGGATCGCAGGAGCGAGGAGTTTGAGGTGGTTGTGAGCTAGGCTGACGCCACAGCACTCTAGCTGGGGCAACAGGGTGAGAAACTCTCTCAGAAAAAAACAAATAAAGAAACAGAAAACATGTTCACCTTGATCCCTGACCACTCCTGGGACTCCATCCTCAACTGACTTGAGACTACATCCTTGACAACAAGGTCCTTCCTTAAATGGGACCTGAAGAGGTGGAAGTTGGCCTGGCGAGTTGGCTCACAGCCTATAATCCTAGCACTATGGGAGGTCGAGGCAGGAGTTTACTTGAGGTCAGGAGTTCGAGACCAGCCTGATCAAGACCTAGACACTGTCTCTACTAAAAATACAAAAATTAATCAACCATGGTAGCATGCGCCTATAGTTTCGGATACTGCGGAGGCTGAGGCAGGAGGATCGCTTGAGCCCAGGAGTTTAAGGTTGCTGTGAGCTAGGCTGATGCCCCAGCACTGGACTCAAGCCAACAGAGTGAAACTCTGTCTCAAAAAAAAAAAAAAAAAAAAAAAAAAGAATTGGAAGTTCAGGGTAAGCCACATCCCCTCAAGGCCGTTTAGCGTCTAAAAGGCACGACGGAGGAGGGGGGACTCTATGGCACCCCACTGTTCCCCACCAGGGTTCTGAATTCGACTTATGGCAGGACTTTCAACCGCGCACTTAACTGACCTAGGCACTCCGCCCAGACCAATGCCCTCATTCTGCAAGCTGCTACAGGGAGTCAGGGCTCCGCAGCTGGAGCAGGAGCCCCACCAGTCGCTACCCGCGCCAGGGCTCCCCGGTTCTCACAGCAGGCCCTCTGGTGGCCCCTCTTCTGGGGGTCCCCTTGTTAGCATTCGGGCTTCCACTTCTACTGGGCCTAGGTCTCCTCCCTCTCCCTCCTGAAGAACTGCAGCCACACTTTTATTCCCAGCCCCGCTCCCCGGAGCCCGGAACCCGCGGGGAGAAGTCAGCATCACAGCTCCGTGGCCGCCCTGGGCTGGGGTCGGGGAAGGGAGCGCCGGGTGCGGGGCGACCCCCTTGGTTATCTGCAAGTTGTCCCTCAGTCCACATTCAGGGTTCTTACCTGGACACCTGGTCAGTCCTGAATTCTAGCAGCCCGAGCTCCCACGCTCCTCTGACCACGCTGTTCCGCCAAGCTCCTCGCCTTCCAGAAACTTCCAAGGCGGAAGTCAGGGTACGCCACTTCCGGCCAATGTGGGGGGGCAGAGGGCGGGGACTGGGTGTCGGGGCCGGGATTGGAGGGGTAAGGGACCTCCTGGGGCTGACAGCAGGGCTGCAGGGGCGGGTCTTGGGTCTGCTGTCTTTGGGGAAGGGATCCTCTTATTGGTACTCAGGGTCCCTACCGTGCTGGTCTCGCGAGACCTCCTGTATTCTGGGATATGGGTCCCCTAAGCCCTACTCCATGGGGCTCCACAGCCTGCTTCCTGTCTCTTTCATCCAGGGCTTCCTGGAAAATGCCACATGCCTGCCATCTCTTGAGCAGTTTCCCTACTGCAAACCTCCCAGACAATGGTTCCTTGATTCAAGAGTGATGGGAGAGGAAGAAGTTATAGCTCAAGGCAGAGGCCCAGAGGAGGTGCTGGGCTGTCAGAGAGAAAGCCAGCTGTTCTGTTCATTCTCCTCACCAGCCAGATCTGGCCTCTGATGGAACTTTCATTCTAATATTAATAGATTGAGCTACAGGAAGAGCTGAGCCATATGATCTTGTGCCCCTCATTTTTCAGGTGATCTGACAACGCATATCTACACGATCATGTGGTCGCCAGGATTGTCTCTTTCTTTCCCATATTCATATCTCTCATTTATTTTCGTATTCTTATTGCTCTTGCTATTGCTCCAAACCATAGTTTGTGCAAAGAATCCTCTTTTTATTGCCTGAGATACGTCTTGGAGTATTGAAAAGAAATGTGAATTATAAACACCAGATCTGCCTCAGGCCAGCAGAAGTGGGGGAGTGTGGGCTTTAGTCAGACTCAGACCCCCGCGCTAACACCAGCCCTGCCACAAGCCAGCACTGTAAACTCAGGCACTGGGGCAAATTCTGTGAGGTTCAGGGTCTTCAACTGGCGAAGCAGATTTGATAAGCCCTGTTTTCTAGGACTGATGTGTGTATGCAATTTATGCTCTGAACTCAGTACAGTGAGGGGAAAGAAGAGAGATTTTTTAAATGGAAGTTATTTAGTATAATTATTTGGACCCCAGACAATACCATCTACCACACTGGGATTTTTTTTTTAATCCAGCAGACGTTAGACAATATGCAATGTCCTAGGACAAAGAAAACCAAATGAGGAAAAATAATGCTTACCAAATCAAACACAGTAATCATTCCCCACTAGATGATCGTTCATTTCATGCAGGTGTGAAGTAGACTTCCCCGGCTGGATGCACCATGAAGCTCCTAGAAAGTGTGTCAAGGACCAACTCCTCCCCACCACCGGCCCTTGCATTTAACCCATCCCTATTTTCATTCATTTTACCACCACCTAAAACCTAGTCCTTGTTTAGAGATTGCCACATTATGTAGAATACCTAATTGGGGTTACTTTGGGTTCCCTTTCAATGGAGTGCTCCAGCTCTGCAAGGCCAGGGCAAAGAGGGCCAGCCCACTAGCTGCTAAGCACCCTACCTCAAGAATACTCCCTGCAGTATTCTTGTTCGAGGCAGGGAGCTTCTTATTCTCACAAACTCCCTGACACAAAGTGTGCACAGCACTTACTTAGTGCACTGTGTTCACCTGCACGGGGAGTGCAGAGCACAGGAGTTCTTGCAATCCTGCCCCAGGGAGGGATTTCTCCCTGGTCTACCAATCCCTAAGGAACTGTCAGGAGCAGTTTGCCACTGTAGGTGTAGTCTCTCCACTCTGACAACCACCAGTTGGGGGCCTGGGCGCCCCCCTCACCATTTGAACATCCTCATGTAGCCCCACATGCAGGCTAATTTAAACTTCCCTCCCACTGAGGCACTGACTGGCAGCTTCCCAAGATCCAGCCTGCCTTGTCCCAGGGCATTGACACAGGGCTGCTTCTATTTGGAGTATCCTCCCTCCTCACCCCTTCCATTTATTGTTCTTTAAGTCTTACAGTGTATCTACCCATGTAGTTGGTATGATAGCTACTCTTGGATTCTAAAATGTTATTGGCAGGAGCTGGGTCTGCTTTGTCTACACATTCCCAGAACAAGCATGAAGCCTTTCAGACAGCAGATTCTCAATTCATGTTTGGGGAATGAAAAAGCCAGTCAATACGAGTTCTCATTGATGACGATTTAATTTCCTCTACATTCCGGAGTAAGTTAAGCAAATCCTGGTGTACATTATGTTTAATTTTAACAAAAGACAAGACTAAAAAGAATAAGAAAAAACAAGAATTGGCCACCTTTTATTTCTTTTTTACCATCTTATGACTCTAGCTATTTCACTGTGGGGTTCTTTCACATTTTAAACCAAATCCCTATTTCAGTGCTAGTTTTTCTTGTGTTAGAATACAATCATAGGAAGGATGTTCAATCTGTTTTACAAAATACAAAACTATTATGCGAACTTGATAAACAGCAATAACTGTGTGATCCATGCCATTTTTAAACTTAGATTGTGAATCTCAATCTCTTTAAAGGGAACATACTGGAAAAGTAGGAATAAAAGATAAATCTACAAGTTATATGTGAAAAACAGGAACAAAAAAAGACACATATTGTGCAGTCTCCACCCCCTATTAGCTAGAACGTCGACAGCCCTTTTGAACTTGAAAGTGAAGGCTGCCTCGGACTTCCCTAGGGCTGGGAGGAGCTCCCAGGTGTGGCCCCGTCGGGGGCGCTGGCCTGGGCAGTGGCGCCAGCCCTGGCGCCAACTCTGGTTTGGGATCGCTCTTCCTCATCTTTCAAAGCCTCCTCATACTGGGACTGGAAGGTACTGGGAACGGTTTTAGTGACCTTCGCCAGAAACTCTAGGACTTTCATCTTGCTGGTTTCAGCATGGGCCTTAGACCCCCACAGGAACTCATAGCATGGAGGATCACTGTCGGGCACCAGTCGGTACTCCAGATACTTCTCCTGCACAAAATTTTTGGTGATGAGCTTCCTGGGCTCCCCGTAGATGAAGTGCTCCCTCCCATCATGCAGCCCCAACACATTCAGGAATTCCCATATCTCTTCCTCAGAGGCACGGTCGCCATTCATGAAGATCACGCTCAGAAGAGGCATCAGGAGCCCGTTCTTGGGGAAGCTGTCTTCGGTCTGGCTCCTGTCGCTGGAAAGGTGCAGCTTGCTGACGAGCTCAAAGGAGCGACCTCTGGGATCCACCTCCTTCAGCTGAAGGCCGAACACCAGCTCCATGCGCAAAGTGGTTTTCCGGAGGATTTCGGGGAAGTGCTCCCTGTACCTCTTGGTGACAATCTTCAGCATGTCAGCCTTCGTAATGGGCTCTTTCATTTTATACTTTTGCAGCACGAATTGCACCAACATGCTCACCTTCTTGGCCAGGGGGTCTTTCGTCGACCTCTCAGAGGAGCGCGAGACCCTGGAGGAGCTTGGGCGTTCCCCATCTTGGCCCTGGGCACCTTGCTCAGCCCGGGTGCCTGAAACAGCTGCAGCAGAAGAGCAGGTGGCTCGGGCTCTCCGAGACTTCCGAGGATTCCCTGCAGCAGGGGCGCTCCGGGAAGCACCCTCACTAACAGCAGAGGAGGAGGATGGGGCCTCTTCTCCCCCTGCTGCAATGGCTTCAGCAGCCCCGAGACCTTGGGGTTCACCTCGAGCCTGGCGGCGTTTCTCACGGGCCCGGAGCTTACTCTTGTGACCACGAGGCATGATGATGGCAGGTGAGAGGGCACAGGATACGGGCACCTGGAAGGAAAGGAGCAGAGAGTGACAGCCCCTTCAGCAAGGAGTTACCACCTGGACTTTAGGAAGGGCCTGTGCGGGTGTCCTTGAGGACACTACTCAGGACTCCCCTTCTCCTGGCCAGCCTGTGCTCTGAAGACCCTGTGGAGCAAGTTGGAGTGTGCCTTGGGCTGCAGCCTGCCGGCCCTGCCTGGCACCACTCTTCTCCCACCAAGTTCCTCCTTCTCTGTTTCCTCTACAGACAGATTGGGGGGGCCTCTGCCTGACATCTATGTCTGGGGCCTCCGGGGCTGAAATTGGAAGGGATTCTGAGGTGCCCCTGCTAATATGGGCAGGGTGGTACCCACACTCTTCTCAGGATCTTCACTGTGACTCCCGGCCCAGCCTATAAATCACCCTCTGCTCAACTGAGGCTCTCCCATCAGGTCAGGGTCCTCACCTTCCTGAGACCCCCCCCCAATGGAAAAGCAAGCATGAGTCACCTCCAGCCATCCCTGTTCATGGCCTCCCTGGATTGGTGTAGGGTGCAGACATTCTGTGTTGGCCCCACGGTTCAGTTATGGGGTGCATGAGAATCCCTTCAGTCCTCAGAATCCTAACTATGACTCCTGGTAAGAGCTTAAAAACCTCAATCAGTGGATTGAGAGCGAAAGATGGCAAATTAGGGCTGACCTCCTGGCTCTCTGCTCTCAGTGTGGGAACTGAAGAAAGCAGACAACCACACTCGAGTGATCTGCACTTAACGGGATCAGCTCTGCAAGCCTGCAGAGATAGACCGGGATACAGAAAAAAAATGGGGCAATAATTTAAGGTGAATCAAAATAGTCTTCCGCAAAGCCCGGGGAGTCGGAAACATACAACATGGAGGGGGTATATCCGCTGCACCGAATGGCTTGTTGGCTGAGGCACTAGTTATGACTTGTACAGGGAGACAATCCCTCCCCCACTGAACCCCACACCCACGTAGACAGGAAATTTCCTAAAGTTGGTGGGAAGTGGTAGCACAGGCAGACGAGCTGCGTGGAGTAAAGTCTGGAGCAGGCAACATTTTGAACTCCCCTGAGCACTCTGCCAAGTCAGTTTCTGGTGGGGGAGTGCCCGAACCCATCGGTGGCTTCTCAGATCAGGACACTTCGAGGACCAGAAAGGGAGGAATCTATCTTAAAGAAGGCTTCATCTTTGGATATCGCTGAGGCTTTGGCTCATGCTGGGTAGACAGAGAGCAGAGCTCTGCACCTAAACTGTTGTGTCTGTGCGAGTTGGGGAAGTAGTGAGCTCAGTGGCAGTTTGGAGACAGCTCGCCAAACCAGGCCCAGCTTTGCGCAGGGCAGGGGCCTTCCGTGTTAGTGCTCGGAGGGTGTGCTGCCGCCACTCCGCAGCTTGGAAACGCTGCGGAGGATTGCTTTGAAAGCGGTCTCAGACCTGCCCTCTGCCCTAACCCAGCTGAACGGTCGGGCTTCTGTAAGAGGGAAATAAGGACAGAAATCTGTCTCTTCCTCCAACTCTGCCCTGGGTCTCCCCTTTCCTACAGCTAGGACTTGGATGCTGAGTTTAAAGGGGTAGAAAGGGGAGAATGGTGTTTTGTGCGGCTGTCTTGCAAGATTAGACTTGGGTGGTCTCCCACTGCATTCAGCCATTTGCGATCTGTGCCCAGAGAGCAGAGCCTGTCTGGGCAAGGCGGATTTACGAAGGAGGCTGCTCTTCCAGATGTAACCTAGGGAGACGTTACCACCCACACCCTCCTATGACTTGGACTCCAGTGCTTTGTGCCAAAGAGTCTGACTCCACCCCTGGGTGGAGTTGAGAAAAAGACTGTTCAACCCAAAACCTGTGTCTCAAGACTGTTACCTCCGCTGCCCTTCCACCTTCCCGCTGGCAGCTGTAAGGCAGTTCTAGAAGCTTCTCAGCACAGCCTTTCAAGCTGAGTCCCGTCTTTACCCCTTTACTGTGGCCTGATAGCTGGTGTCTCCAGCCAAAGGGGAAGCCCCATTCCTAGGAATTGCCGAGGGGTGAGGGAATCTGGTGTTTGGGCTGAGATCTGCCGGGGTTGAAGATGACCCTTGGAGGCGACCAAGCCACTGGGGTTTCATGTGGAAGGGACTGACCCCATCCCAGCAGGGGCCACGTGGCATAGCAGGTCTCTTTCTGGTCTGGGACCCTCAGTGGCCTCGGGAAGGTCTTCTCCAGCAGGCCTCAGATTTAGCCCACATACCAACTTGATAATCCCTGCCCTTGGAGAGGTAAGGGAAGGAGAGTAAGCATGTCTTGGCCACATAGCCCTAGGAAGTGCCTTTCCCTCAGGATGGTGGGTTATCTTCTCCTCTGACAGGGCAGACTCCCCCCTTGGGGGAGGGGAAAAATGAGAAAAGACGTTTCCTAGTCTGGGACTTACTGAAATCTCACTTATTGCCTCCCCCACCAGCCCACCAAACCAGACTCTGCCCCAGAAGGTCAGGAGAAAGGAGAAAAGTCACTTTCCCTGTAGGACTAGCTTGAATATGTGGGTCCTTGGAATTAAGCAGAAGGGAACAGAGTGATTTTTACATACAGCTGGTTGGTCTTCATCATCTGATAAGTTCAGAACACAGGGGCTTGCCCTTGGCACCCAGACTGTTGCTAATGTATGGGCTTGTGGTTCTGGAAAGAAAATCTTGACCATAGTCCTTAGCATTTGCACCAATGGACTCTCCCCACCAGGAGCTCCTCCGAAAGTGTGACAAAAGATCTCTGAATAACATGTTAACAGCTCCCCCCTAGCTACAGATAAAGCATCCTCTGAAGTATTCTCTCTTAGGCTCACTGATACCTGATGCTACTTTCAACCCTCTTAAAGTAGTTACAGGCCTCTAGGAACCCTTGGGAGTGGCAGGATATTCCCTAAAGACTGAGATACCTGTATATCCTATTTGGAGGCTTAGAGCACAATACAAAGGTCTTGGAATACCTTGATAATTGACTCCTTTTCACAAACCACAGATAACAAAAGAGAGAGTAAACTCAGAGCCTAACACAGTGCCTCCCACTTCAACCTAGTGGTTGATAGCGGCCTCAATCTCACAAGAGTGATCTAACCCCTGGGTGTCTAAGCAAGGGGCCCAAACCTACTAAACTCTGTATACAGAAGGTGAATACATCAGGTCAAAGATAACCCAAGAGGCTCAAAGTCCTCTAAGAGGATACAGAACCAGAGCACATATTCCCCAGCTCTTCCAATGATAATTCCTTTGGAACCCCAGATTTTAGCTCATAATCCAGTCCCAGCACCTCCGGTCCTCTACAAAGCATCCATATGAGAAAGAACCAGCGAAAGATCACAGGAAACAGTAAGGATCAGAGAGAAGAGTCACCTCCAAAAGAAAATACTCAATCTCCACCAACTGACACCAATATATATGATATCATTAAACTGACAGAAGAATAATTCCAAATATGGATTGTTAGAAAACTCAATGGAATTGAAGAGAAAATAGAATCCCAACATAGAGAAACCACAAGAACAATTCAGGAAATGAATGAAAAATTCTCCAAAGAAATTGAAATAATACAGAAAAACCAAACAGAAATCTGGCAATGAATGAAACATTCAAGGAACTCCATAATACAGTGGAAAGCCTCAAGAACAGGATAGATCATGCAGACGAAAGAATCTCAGAGCTTGAAGATTATGCCTATGAAGCATGGGATTATGTAAAAAACCCGAATCTCAGATTGATTGGGATTCCAGAAGGAGGAAGAGGAACATTCACAAGGGTTGGAAAACTTATTTCATGGAATACTGGAGGAAAATATGCTGGGCCTTGGCCATAAATCTTGATATCTAAATACAAGAAGAACACAGAACTCCTGGAAGACTCAAAGTGAAAAGGCAATCATCTCGCCATGTGATTATTAGGCTGACCAAAGTAAACGTGAAAGAAGCAATCCCCTGTGCAGCAAGATGAAAAAAACAAATAACCTATAAAGGAAAGCCTATCAGACTAACGGTAGACTTCTCATCTGAAACCTTACAAGTCAGGAGGGATCGGGTGCCTATCCTTAATCTTCTAAAACAGAATAAAGCCCAAGAATTCTTTATCTAGCAAAATTAACTTTCATCTATGAGGGAGAAATAAAGTCCTTCTCAGACAAGAAATCACTGAAGGAATTTGCAAAGACCAGACCAGCCCTACAAGGAAGTTCTCAGACCTGCCTTCCACACTGAACAGGGCAATAGACATTCCTAAAAGTAAAATCTTCAAAGAATTAAAGGCTAGATCTTGAACTGCATGATGCTCAAGGAGTAAGAGCAACAGGACTTCACCTAACACTATAAATGGAAATCTTCCTCCAATTTCAATCCTCTCAATAAATATAAATGGTTTAAACTGTCCTCTGAAGAGGCACAGATTGGCAGAGTGGATAAAAATCCACAAGCCTAGTATCTGCTGTCTACAGGAAACACATCTAACTCACAAAGATGCCTTTCAGCTGAAGGTCAAGGGATGGAAAACTATCATCCAGGCAAATGGAAGTCAAAAGAAAGCAGGGGTAGCTATACTATTTGCAAATAACATAAGCTTTGAAATACCAAAAGTAAAAAAGGGTAAAGATAGCCATTTTATAATGGTGAAAGGGAAGATCCAATAAGAAGATTTAACAATTCTTAATATTTATGCAGCCAATGCAGGAGCACCCAATTACATAAAGCAAACCTTGTCTGATCTAAATACCATGTTAAACAATACTGCCATAGCAGCAGGGGACTTCAACAGTCCACTGAGTGAGCTACATAGATCCTCCAAACAGAAAATAGTAGAGAAATAATAGGCTTAAATAAAGCGCTTGATCAAAAAGGTCTGACAGATCTCTACAAACATTCCACCCAAATAAAATTGAGTTTACATTCTTCTCAGCAGCCCATGGATCTTTCTCCAAAATTGATCACATATTAGGCCACAAAGCAGATCTCAAAAAATTCAAGAAAATAAAAATAATACCATGTGTCTTCTCTGATCATAATGGTA